AAAAAAAGAGGTATTGGGGCGCCTGGGTGGCTCAGTCGTTAAGCATCTGCCTTCGTCTCAGGTCATGATCCCAGCGTCCTGGGATCGAGCCCCGCATTGGGCTCCCTGCTCCGCGGGAAGCCTGCTTCTCCCTCTCCCACTCCCCCTGCTAGTGTTCCCTCTCTCGCTGTGTTTCTCTCTGTCATATAAAATCTTTAAAAAAAAAAAAAGAGGTATTGCTATCAACCTAAAACCTTTCTTCACTTTGCCCTTAGAAAATAATCTGAAAAACCACAGCTTCAGGTTCTTAAACCAATGTCCCAAAACCTGACATATTAAGTGGTAGCTCTAGCAATAGTAGGAGTCACTCATTTTTCTTGAGGGATAATTTCCTTTGGATTTGGCTATCCTTTCAACAAAGATTTATAGAGCACCTACTATGCACATGCCAGATACTGTGCATCTTAGTACTTTGTTTTGATGGCAAATTCCTTGAGTTTGCAAATCTTTTTTTTTTTTTTTTACTTTATATGATTTTGATGTCAGAGTTAGGACAACGGATGATACTCTTAAATAACCAGTGCATATTAACAATATTTATTTGGAGGAATGACACACACATACAAAGCATTTGGTAGATACAAAGAATGCTAAGTCAGGAAAAAATTGAAATATTATCATCAGTTTTGAAGAAAAATAGTAAGATGAGTTAAAAAAACTAAATAAATGTGCCATTCACAGGCATTGGGAGTATGATCATGCTCTGGCCACCAGCCCTTGGAGTTTAAATGATTTTACTTCAAATGGACAAAAGACACAAGCTACATCAGGTTATTTGCCAATCACAAAGACAATGCTTACTGACCTATCACTGGAGAGAGGCATTGGGCCAGTCATGTACCAGATCATCAATATTTTCAGTTACAAAGAGCCAATGTTTGTTACCTTCGATAAATTCTGTTCCCTCATTTGAAGTGTTAGTGAGAGACTACTTGTGGGTCTCTACAGGAATACTGAAATATACTTGTAGATAATTTAAATGACCAGCAATAGAGAATGGTTAAATAAATAATGGCATATCTGTAAGGTAGAATCTTATGTGGTCATTTCAAATAAAGTGGACAAAGCATTTGTAATGACATTTGCGACGATGTGATGCTGGTGATAACAGTATTTAAAAGATTGGACGGGGGTGCCTGGGTGGCTCAGTTGGTTAAGCAACTGCCTTCGGCTCAGGTCATGATCCTGGAGTCCCTGGATCGAGTCCCGCATCAGACTCCCTGCTCGGCGGGGAGCCTGCTTCTCCCTCTGACCCTCCCCCGCCTCATGTACTCTCTCTCATTCTTCCATTTTCCCTGTCTCAAAAAAAAAAAAAAATTCTTTAAAAAAAAAAAAATCCCCTTTTTCTTACAGGTAATTCTTCAATTGAAAAAGTGGCATCTAAAGAAAATTAGGCCTCATTTACAGAAGTTTGAAAGGACCTAGAGATTTATTTTTTCCTTTACATTCTCACTATCATCTCCCTAGTTCAGACCCCTATTTATTCTTAACCCACTTATCCCAAGAGCTTCCTACCGGTAATGGGGGGCTGGGGGAGAAGGTCGTGAGCCTGATGGATTAAGGATAGGGTTGGTTCCCACCCTTCTTCTCCTGTGGTCTCTGCATTTACTATCAAATTTGGACAGTTCGGGCCACCTCTGCCAGCCGCTAGGGGACCTCAGTAACCCAGACGATGAGCTCAAAGGAAGGTAATGTAGAACTGTGGATACCCTCAACCTCTCCAATTAAGCTCTGCAGAGGCAGCCCCCATTCAGATGGCCGCACCCTACAAATAGGCGGTGCTCTGGTGGATCATTCTTGGCAAAGGAAACCAGCTGCAGATTTGGCCTTGCTTTCCTTCCAGTTCCAGTTTTTCATGGCTTCGGTCAGAGGAGAGTATTTGGTTAAGGGAGTTTTCTTACAGACTTTCCTCAGGTCCTTGAAATCTGGACTCTCCTGCCTAATTGTTTAAATGTTGTAATTTGCTTTTCTTTGGTCTTGAAGCAGGCACAGAGTACCTACAGTGCCAATGTCCCTGACACATAGTTCCAAAAAACTGAACAAATGTTTAACGGTGTTTCTAGCTGCCTACTATACCATTGTGCGTGTCAATTTACTGAACCTTAGGGTGCTGGTGAACACTAGCTTGTTTCCAATCTTTAGCTCACACAAGCTATTCTGTAATGAATAACCATACATAACTCATTTTGCATCCGTGCAAATATATACACAGGAGGAATTTCCAGAAAAGAGATCACTGGGTCAGCAGTTAAATGCATTTGCAATTTTTTTTAAGATTTTATTTATTTATTTGACAGCGACACAGCGAGAGAGGGAACACAAGCAGGAGGAGTGGGAGAGGGAGAAGCAGGCTTCCCGCGGAGCAGGGAGCCCAATGCGGGGCTCGATCCCAGGACCCTGCGATCAGAACCTGAGGGATCAGGACGTGAGCCATCCAGGCGCCCCTGCTTTTGCAATTTTGAGACACACTGTCAAATTGCCCTCCATAAGAGTTGTATCAAGCTAAACGTTCTTTTCAGCTAGACCCACAGAATGTTAAAATTGAAAGTAGAGATGACCTTAGTGGCCTCCTTTAATTTCTCCATAAGGAAATTGAGGCACAGAGAGGCTGATTTGCCCAAGGTCACACAGAAGCCAGTGGTGATGCCAT